GGTCAAAAGGTCAAAAAGAAGTGCTATAGCGCTTTTCCTTCAAAGAGACGCTGAAGTTTCTAACTCCAAAAACTTCATTCAGCCTTTGTGTCTTTCATATTTCGCCTGTTTCAGTCATTCACTCAGAACTGCTGATCTGCTATCAGGAATCCAGATGAGAGAAAAAGAGAGCGGAGGATGAAAAGAAATAAATAAAATATAAGGAGAAAGATATCTGATGAGAAGAAACAGCCACATCAAAGATCCAGAGCTCCTGCTGTTGCAGAAGCAGCATGGAGACTGAAGTTATCAGCAGGGAAAGGTGTGTGTGTGTGTGTGTGTGAGACAGCACTACCGCACAACCACAGCTGTTCTTCAAGTCATTCAGTACACACACACACACACACACATTTGTGCTGAGTAGTGTGTGCTTTATTAAACCAGCCCACTCTGCACTCAATGACCTCTCTCTGCTGACAGAATGACACACACAAACGCACATTCGCAGTCACAGAAGTGTGTTTCTCAATATGAATATATGGCTGAAATTAAAATCTGTGAAAAATGACTTCCTAAAAATGTGCAGATTTCTGGCGGCTGCATGGAGAACATCACAATTGTCTGGTGCAGCTATTTAAAGCTGCTGTATTTATGGCGTCCAAAGTCTGTCTGACAGCCACACCTCACCGTTAAGGTGTAAAATCGCTCAGTTTGGCAGGTGTTTTAGGAGCCTTTTTTAGCAAATGTGGCGCAGACTTATTCCTGTAGCACATTTGGTTACACGCCGAAGTGTGAGGGTGTAAAATAACCTTGGAGGAGACAAATCAAGAAAGATGCGTGCATTTTATAGATAAACTTAGCACTTAAGAAAATGTGATGGCTCGAGGGTGACAGAAATTACGAAATGCATTTCAAAGAATAAATGAAGACAGTCCTGTCTCCTGCATCATTAGTTACAAATGGAGTCCCTCATCAGTGTTGTTACTGTTAACTAAAACAAAAACTAAAACAATTAAAAACATTTTTTGTTAACCGAGATAATGCTGAAACGAAATAAAATAGAATTATTATATGGACAAAATGGATCTACTGTAGTGAACGGGTGCCATCAGAATGAGAATCCAAATAAAACCATCACAATAATTCAAAAGCAATCCACACGACTCCAGTCCGTCAGTTAATGTCTTATAAATTTAAAAGCAGTGTGTCTGTAAACAAATCCATCATTAAGATGTTTTAAAGTCATTCTTAAGATGGTTTTTGGCTGGTAAGCGGGCTTGATTGTGCATATTTCTCTCCTGATTCAGACAAGATAACTGGAGAAAGCAATATTATGGATAGAGTACTCATATTTTAGCTGAATAGCTGGAAGCAATGGTTTTAAGTTAAAAACTTATTTTGGCTTTTTGCTTCACAAGACATTAATTAATGACTGGAGTCTTCTGGATTATCGTGATGTTTTTATCAGTTGTTTGGACTCTCATTCTGACGGCACCCATTCACTGCAGAGAATCCATTGATGAGCAAGTGATGTAATGATACATTTCTCCAAATCAGTTCCAATGAAGAAACAAACTCATCTATGGCCCTCAGGATGGCCTGAGGGTGAGTGAATTCTCAGCAAATTTTCATTTTTGGGTGAACTATTTCTTTAAAGGAGAAGTTCACTTCCAGAATAAAAAATTCCTGATAGTTTACTCACCCTCATGTCATCCAAGGTGTTCATGTCTTTCTTTCTTCAGTCGCAAAGAAATTGAGGTTTTTAAGGGAAACATTCCAGGATTTTTCTCCATATAGTGGACTATAATGGCAGCCAAGGTTCAAATTGCAGTTTCAATGCAGCTTCAAAGGGCTCTTATCTAAGGGTCTTATCTAACAAAACTATCGGTCATTTTCTAAAAAAATCTATATACTTTTGAACCACATATGCTCGTCTTGCACTAGCTCTGCGATGCACATGTGCGTCTTCACGCATTGCATAATCACGTTGGAAAGGTCACGTGTGGTTATTTATTTGTCTGTTTTTCGGTTCAAAAAGGTAGGGTAGGGTGAAAAACACATTTTCTCCTCCAATTTCAAAATTGTCTGACATCGTTGTTTTACCTTTTCTTGTAAAGGGCGTTTGACTTTCTTTGCACGTTCGCTTAGTAAACACTGGGTCGGTACTTCCGCCTACATCATGTGTGCATAATTACATAATGTGTGAGGCTCGAGATGCTTTAAAAAGCTTTTTAAAAAAAATCCTGGAAGTTCGATTCCCGTCTCAAGGTCCTATGCCGGTCCCGCTCCCCTCTCTCTACCTAATACTTTCCGGTCATCTCTCCACTGTCCTGTCTAAATGATAAATGAATAAAAAGTCCAAAAGATATAACTTTATGAAAAAAAAAAAAAAACTTAATTTCTTTGCGACTCAAGAAAGAAAGACATGAACATCTTGGATGACATGGGGGTGAGTAAACAGTCAGGACATTTTCATTCTAGAAGTGAACTAATCCTTTAAAGCTAAATAGAAAATAGAAAAACTAATAAAACACTAACAGACACATAGCCCATAAAGAACAAATTACTAAATCTTACACAAAAACTACAATTAAAATGAAAACTATGAATATTTGTATGTGTATATGTATTATATGAAGTTTATTTGCAAAAACAGATAACTCTAAATTTTCTTAAATCATGTTTTTTTTATTGTGTCATGTTTTTATTGTGTTAGTTATCTGTATTTTTTAGTTATTATTATAAAACAACCCAACTGCAGTTTGATATTAATTGGAATGCAGGATAAAAAAAACAAACATGATTTTTGAAGTAAAGTCTTACAAGTCATACATATAATGAAGCAACTCTTATACGACATTATGCAACTCATTTTTCCAGTTCCTGTAGAGAACGTGCAAGTGACACTGCAGACAGAGTAGAGTGCCTGTCTGCAGCCAGACCCTTCTCACTAGGGCCGATCCATTAGCCTCAACGAGGCACTTTAAATCAGGTCGCTCACGGCTGGTTAAAAGCATCTGCTAAATGACTACTCACTTGCCAGACTGTGTATAGTGTAAGTGATTTCAGGCTGCCCAATACTTTTCCAGGATAAAAAAAATGTATAAAATGAACCAAAGCGCTGAAAAGATCCACTGGGTGGCAGTAGTGACACCTCAGAGATAACGGCTTCTACAACTAGGTTTTTAATCTGAATTTCAGTCTTTCATATTTAGAGCTTGTGGGATTTGAGTGTGGGTGTTTACAAAGATTAGCAATGCATAATAACCCTAGAAACCATTATTAGCCAGGGGCTGGTCACCATATGCTAAACACAGTTAATCAGCTTAGCCATGTGCGAGCATGTGCACGTTTGCAGATCAGAACACTAAGCCTATCATATCAAATCATAACATTATGTCTATGCCTTAATTTTGCATGTTAGTGAAAGTAAATTAATTTGTTCTGATTTTGATAACCCTTTACAATACGATCCATTACTTAAACGGATAAACACCCAAAAATTAAAATTCTGTCATCACGCTTAAGCTGTTTAAGAGTCATTCTTCTGCTAAACACAAAAGAAGATATTTTGAAGAATGTTAGTAACCAAACAGTTGCTGGTAGCCACTGACTTCCATAATAAGGAAAAAAATACTATGGAAGTCAATGACTAAGTTTGGTTACCAACATTATTTAAAATACCTTATTTTGTGTTCAGCAAATGATGACAAATGTTTCCTTTTTGGGTGAACTCTATCTTTAATGCAATAGCTAACATTAAAACGAGCAATACATTTGTTACAGCATTTATTTATCTTTGTTAATGTTACTTAATAAAACTGCAACTTAATTTTTAGTTCATGTTAGCTTAGGTCCTTTAAATAATATTAAGTAACTTTTGATTCTAATAATGTATTATCAAATGCTGAAATTAGCTTTAACTGAGATTAATAAATGCGTCACAGGTATTTTTCATTGTTAGATCAAGTTGATTAATGTAGTTAGCTAATGTTAACAAATGGAACCGTATTGTGAAGTGTTACCATAATTTTTTTTAGAAATTATGAAAAAAAATTTTTTTTTTTAATTTTGTGATTGCACACAAAGGGTCCAAGATCAGCATTCGATAAGTACTAAATGAAAACAAAATTGCTTGCCAATTGGCTGCTAGGTTTACAAAAGACCAGCAACGAAATGCATTGTCTAGAATAAATCGTACCTCATTTCTTTTACATTTTTGGTTGAAAACTGACCATCAGAAGCTTACCTAGGATTTCTTAAGTTTTATTTCCTCCATAACTCCATGTGGTGACACTGACATATACTGCATGTGAAAAATTCTTCTCATTAAGCCACCCAGACAAAAATATGAGGAACAAAATCAGTCCTGACGTTGTTCTGACAGGCGGTGTTTCACAGAGTGATGGAGACGGACTCATCTCATATACTGTATTATGCAGCGAGTGACACAATGACCTGCACTGATTGCCAGAAATACATAAGGAAAAACAGCTAAATAATTCCAGCATGACCGAAAAATAATTTGAGTACGAGATATATTTATGACAAATAAGTTTTCTCGATTCACCTGTTATTGGGTAGTGTGACAAAAAGTTAATTTTAGACCATCAGCTTAACTCTACAGTATATGCAAGTTGCTTGATAAAAATAAACAGCCTACAGTATGTTGACCTAATTTTGAACAATACATTTTTTTTAAATGGTAAATTTATAGAAGCAATAAGCAACTCTAAACTGTACATTACTGTGATTTTACCAGCACTCTGTACCCAGTAACAATCTGGCTAAAAATAAAATCCTAAATGTTTTTAACACTATTTACGCATCAGAAAATTCTCTAGAGTAAGTTACTGTAATTCAGAAAATAATGGGACATCTGTCATATTGGTATTGGTTATTACATAAGTAAAGCTTATGAATGCGGTGTTGACAAATGCTGCAGTCAGAATTATTTAAGGGTTCTATGTCTTAGATTTAATAATTGCATGCAACCGTTTTTTGCATTACAAGAAGCTCACCATTCTTCCGCTCATGAATAGGAAGCAAGTTGGGGGCGCGCTGAAGAGACAGTTCTTGCAGCTCATTGGTTACGGCATCACTCTGTGGACTGGAGGCGGAGCCTGTGGTATCAGCAGGGGCGGTGACACTGGGACTTGACTCCTCCCCCAAAGTTGCCATAGTCAAAAACAGCCCTAAAACAAAAAGAAATAACATTATTAAAAGTAATTACAATAGTCATTCATTGTTTAATACTAAGTACTTTAAGTTAGTATTTAGTAAGCTTGTATAACTTTAAAGGGAACAAAGTGTAATTTGTGACAACAATTGTCCAGAATATGTACAAGGATATTTTCAAGGAAAATGTACAACATTGTGAATATGACCTTTAGTTACATAACAAAGAAAAGGGGTATTCTACTCAGAGAGAAAATGTGTGTGTGTGTGTGTGGTGTAGAGTTATATGATCTCACTGCAACAGAAAAAAACAGCGGTAACACAAACTCTGCTGCAAGCATTTTAAGCAGATGACAAACACCATCACCATGGTAACATGTTATAACACTTCACATACAGAAAGAGAAACACAAGTAGCACCTCTGCAGTGACAGATTGTGAAGGTATCCGACATAACATCATCCCAACAATGAGTCACAAATTCAGTCACGGCCACATCTGCTAATGAGGTTCACCATTTTCAACAATCAACTTCCATTTCAGAATGTTTGCAATATCTGGAACACATCAACGTTTAAAAAAAAGATCATTTTAGAATGTCCGCATTCTGCAACATTTAGGCCTGGTTTCACAGACAGGGGCTAACTAAGGCCTTGTCTACACGAAACGCGGTTATTTTTAAACTCGCAGATTTTTTCTATGCGGTTTGGCCGTTCGTCCACACGTAAACGCAGCACCAGTTCACTGAAACCGAACATTTTCGAAAACTCCTGCCAGAGTGAAGATTTAAAAAAAACTCCGGTTGCAGTGTTGTCGTGTAGACAGCAAAACCGTTTTTGGCTTGTGACGTCGGCGCCTGCGCTGAATCTCCGCCTACTGGAAACTTTTTCAGGCTTCTGATTGGCCAACATGGTTTTATGGTTGAGATCATATCGCCACCTGTTGGTTTGGCATGCTCTTAGCAGTGCTTCATAGCATGCATTTGAGTTTTCATGTGGACGGAGATTTTTTTTTAAACTGAAGAAGGAAAAACTCACACGGCCTTAGACTACACCAGGATTAGGCCACAGTTCAATTTGGACATTTAAGTAATTTTTATAAATGTAGTAACGTACCTTACATAAAAAAAACATTACTGGTGTGCATCTTGAGACAAAACAAAGGCACTGACAAGTTTTAAGATCAATCAGTGCAAGTTTCTTTAATTTGAAACAGCTCAGACTTACATTTTAGTCTGGACTAGGCTTAATCCTTGTCTGTGAAACTGGGGGCTAGAAATGTTACAATGTTCAAAAAAAGATAATTGTAATATGGTTAAATGTAAAGGGAAAATGATCATTTTAGAACGCCTGCAACATCTACAACATTTTAATGTTCAAAAAAGAATTTCAGAATGTTTGCAACATCCAAAACATTTGAATGTTAAAACAAGAGAGTTTTTGAATATCTGCTAATGTTTGAATATTCAGGAAAATGAGAATTATAGAATGACTGAAAAACTAGAACATTTGAATGTTAAAAAAAAAAAAACATCTCGAGTGTTTGAATAAAAAAAAAAAAAAATGTTTTTTTAATTATATATATATATAAGGATAATTCTACGTGTTCACAATCTATGAGTGTGTTTGTAACATCCAGGAAGCATAAAAAATATTTAACACTCACAACTCACTTCTTTAAAGGAACTTTTACACTATAATGTCATCATTAAATCACAGATGTCTCTTCTTTCAGAGACATTCAATAAAAACCTCTCAACTTCCTTAGTAAAATGGAGTCTGCTTCCATCAGAACTGATCTCAAGTTACAAAAATCCCCATTCAAAAAAAAAAGTTAAATGTCAGATCCTATTACCTTGCTTTGAATAACAGGGAAATTGCATGGTTAATTCAGCTATTTACTGGGAATTTGCAAACGTCAAACAAAACTGCAAACTCAAGCACAGGAGACATATGAAGTAGTTCAGCTCAATTACTTGGTAAAGCCCAATTAATATTTAAGCAATATTTAATGAAGATATTTCTTAATTGGAGTCTAATTAGGAATTTTAAAAAGACAACTATATTAAAGGGGTCATATGATGCTATTTTAAAGATCATTATTTTGTGTATTTGGTGTAACAGAATGTTGACAGACAGTTAATAATGTCGTTAGTTTTACCATCAGTTCAAGCCCGAAAGGGCAACAGAGTCGCGTGACAGACACAGCGATGATGCAGCCGCAGACACACACACACACACACACACACACACGACGCGTTACTCTGCGCAAAACTCAATAGCAAATACTTGAACTAATAACAAAACATACTTACTGTCGCTGATTCAGAAGTGCCAGATTTTCATAGCAAAGTCGGAATTTACCCTTTTTTTTTTATTTTATTTTTTTTTAGAAGTAGCCTTTGTGCACATCCAGCCTTGTACTCTTCTAGGTTCAAAAAACTGTTGTCCATAAAATGCGTTGCGCAAATTCGAACATCTGGGTTGTGCTGTTCTGTTCTCATTACAACTAACAGTAAACAAATATATACAGATCTCATGCCTCTTTGGGGGTGCTTAATAAACTGACAAACTTTAAATCTGAAGAACTGTGCTTTCATTACACATATAGCTCTGTAGACTAGAAAACCCGTCAAAATAAGAGTCCCGCCTTAGCAAAGGAGTTCTCATACATATTTTAACTTACAAAAAATATTAAAATGTATACAAAAACAAATTAGAAGATTAATCATAATGAAGTCTGTTACAATACAGAAGGATTAATATGCATTTAATTTATACAGTGAAGTGTTATTTTACATTTGTTTACTTTATTTCTGTACCTGAAAACTGTTAAACCTACCTAAAAAGCACTGTTTATATCATATGTATCTTTGTTCTGTTGTATTTATGTAGGTCTGCTGCATGTTAAATGGATCCAATCCATGTTCATTAGAAATTATTTGATGATGCAGCAGTAAAACTGCTAGAATAATTTAATGCAGGTGTTTTTTTTTAACTTTGCTGATTTAAAACTTGATCAGAATACTATCTATTTTGATGCCAAAATTTCAAATAAGAGAGGAAGTGACAAATATCGGTATCGAAATCGGCCAATAAGTGTTTGTTAAAATCGGTATTGTATTGTAAATGGTATTGTCAAGCAGACAAACTGACCAACAGTTTCATGAAAACCTGTCATAAATGTTGTATGCACCTGGCAAACTCAACTATTTGTATTACGGTCTAATCTAGTCCACCTTAATTAAATATAAACAGGTATGCACTGCTGTGCTACTACAGATATTTTGAACAGTGCAACTTGAAATTGTACTAAAAAGTTGTGCAGATCCTTCAGCAATTGGGGAATCTGAAAGTAAATTACTGTTCAATTTAAATTAAATTAAATAAAACATGTCGTCTTAAATCTAGGGATGCACCGAAATGAAAATTCTGGGCCGAAACAGAAACTGAAAATTCTGGATGCACTTGACCGAAAACTGAAACTGCTTTGTAATGATTATTTATTAAATAATATAAAGTAATTTTGTAAGACTTTTTAAATTTAACTCAATTTTAATCATACTGGAAAAAAAACACAAGCCAATAAAATAATCACACTTTTACTGAAAGTAATACAATAAAACTGGACAGAATTTATATTAATATTGGTAACACTTTACAATAAGGTTCATTAGTTAACTACTTTAGTTAATGAACTAAGAATGAACAATAGTTCTTCAGCATTTACTAAT